CCTATCACAGAACTGTGTTTCTTAAATTAAAATACCTAAGAAATATATGTACACAAAGCAGAATTACAGTGAAAATATTAGATTTCAGTCTCTTTCAAGGAAATATAATTCACCCTTTCACCCCTAGTGTATTTATTGAGTCTACTAATCTAATAGGTAAATGCATGGCCCTTTGACTGGCTGAGTCAAATTCTCATGTTTCTCTCTCTTCATAATTAATGTGGTGACTTTCTGAAAGGCCTCTAAGTAGCTAAAATGTTAGCTTAAAATAAAAAGTAATATAAAATGATATGGTCAATGATAAAACATCGACTAATGGAATTCATAAAGATATGTGGATAGTTTAACCAAGAGTTCCAAATCAAAGGAAAATATTATGCTACTAAGGAGGTTCAGTAGGGACACAATATCATTAGAAATCATGAGTTTCCAAAGATGCCACGCCACTGACTGAGCAAGTGAAAACAGAGATAGATAAATGGGACTATCTTAAACTAAGAAGCTTCTGCACCTCCAAAGAAACAGTGACCAAAATACAAAGACAGTCTACAGAATGGGAAAGGATATTCGCCGAATACACATCTGACAAGGGGTTGATATCCAGGATATACAAAATACTGGTTAAACTCCACAAGAAGAAAACATCCAACCCCATCCAAAAATGGGGCAATGAAATGAACAGAAACTTTCTCAAAGAAGAAATCCGAATGGCAAAAAAGCACATGAGAAAATGCTCTACATCATTAATCATCAGGGAGATGCAGATCAAAACCACAATGAGATACCATCTCACACCTCAGAAACTGGCCCACATTCAAAAGAACAAAAGCTGTTTTAATTATTACTGCTTTGTAGTACAGTTTGAAGTTAGGGAGGTTGATTCCTCCCATTTTCTTTTTCCAAAGAATTGCTTTAGCTATTCGTGGGGGCTTATTGTTCCATATAAATTTCAGGAGTGTTTGCTCCATTTCTTTGAAGAATGTCATGGGTATCCTTATAGGGATTGCATTGAATTTATACAATGCTTTCGGTAGTATTGCCATTTTGACAATGTTAAGTCTCCCGACCCATGAGCAGGGGATATCTTTCCATTTCCTCATGTCCTCTTTTATTTCCTGAAGTAGCGTTTTGTAGTTTTCTTTGTACAGGTACTTTACTTCCTTAGTTAAGCTGATTCCTAGGTACTTGATTTTCTGGGGTACAAAGCAGTAATAATTAAAACAGCATGGTACTGGAACAAAGGCAGAACTGCAGACCAATGGAACAGGGTTGAATACACTGACATCTCCCCTCAATCATATGCTCATCTAATCTTTGATAAAGGTGCAAGTAATGTGAAGTGGAGTAAGGAAAGCCTCTTTAATAAATTGTGCTGGCATCACTGGACGGCTACATGCAAAAAAATGGGCTCAGAACTTTGCCTAACACCATGTACAAAAGTAAGATCAAAATGGATTAAAGACCTCAACATTAGACCAGAAACCATAAGGTACATTGAAGACAAAGTTGGCAAAACCCTCCATGACATTGAAGCTAATGGTATCTTCAAAGATGCCACGCCACTGGCCGAGCAAGTGAAAACTGAGATAGATAAATGGGACTATCTTAAACTAAGAAGCATCTGCACCTCCAAAGAAACAGTGACCAAAATACAAAGACAGTCTACAGAATGGGAAAGGATATTCGCCGAATACACATCTGACAAGGGGTTGATATCCAGGATATACAAAATACTGGTTGAACTCCACAAGAAGAAAACATCCAACCCCATCCAAAAATGGGGCAATGAAATGAACAGAAACTTTCTCAAACAAGAAATCCGAATGGCAAAAAAGCACATGAGAAAATGCTCTACATCATTAATCATCAGGGAGATGCAGATCAAAACCACAATGAGATACCATCTCACACCTCAGAGACTGGCCCACATTCAAAAGAACAAAAGCAACCGATGCTGGCGCGGATGTGGTGAGAAAGGGACACTCCTTCACTGTTGGTGGGAATGTCCACTGGTTCAGCCCTTCTGGAAAACAGTATGGACGATTCTCAAAAAATTAGAAATAGAGCTCCCATTTGACCCAGCAATACCACTCCTGGGAATATATCCCAGAGAGGCAAAAATGTATAGTCGAAGTGACATCTGCACTTGTTTGTTCATTGCAGCACTCTTTACAATAGCCAGAAACTGGAAGAAACCTGAATGCCCAAGAACAGATGACTGGTTAAAGAAACTTTGGTACATCTACACAATGGAGTACTATGTAGCTCTTAGAAAAGATGAAGTCATGAAATTTACATACAAGTGGTACAACATGGAAAGTATCATGCTAAGCGAAATGAGTCAGAAAGAGAGGGATAGACATAGAAAGGTTGCATTCATCTGGGGGATATAAAGTAACAAAATATGAGATTAATACCCAAGAATAGCTGAGATCAGCACCAGGAGCATTACTCCATAACTTAGAGGCCAGCCGGGTATCCTAGAGGAAAGGGCAGCTCAGATAGAGAAGGGAACACCAAATAAAGGATGTTTGGAGGATCCTCCCAGGAGGGGAGATGCATGTCGAAAGTAGACTATGGACTGAACATGTTTGCCACTCAATGCCTCTTTTGCAGACCACAACACCCAAAAGGAGAGAGAGAACACAGGGGATTGCCCTGCCACAGAGGCAGGGGGAGATGGGGGGATGGGGGTGGGGGGGATATTATCCATGGTGGTGGAAAATGGGCACTGGTGGAGGGATGGGTATCTGATCATTATATAATCGAAACCCAAGCACAAAAAATTGTAAATCTACAACTGTACCTCATGGTGTTTCACTTAATAATAAAAAAAAAGAACAAAAGCAACCGATGCTGGTGCGGATGTGGCGAGAAAGGGACACTCCTTCACTGTTGGTGGGAATGTCCACTGGTTCAGCCCTTCTGGAAAACAGTATGGACGATTCTCAAAAAATTAGAAATTGAGCTCCCATTTGACCCAGCAATACCACTCCTGGGAATATATCCCAGAGAGGCAAAAATGTATAGTCGAAGTGACATCTGCACTTGTTTGTTCATTGCAGCACTCTTTACAATAGCCAGAAACTGGAAGAAACCTGAATGCCCAAGAACAGATGACTGGTTAAAGAAACTTTGGTACATCTACACAATGGAGTACTATGTAGCTGTTAGAAAAGATGAAGTCATGAAATTTACATACAAGTGGTACAACATGGAAAGTATCATGCTAAGCGAAATGAGTCAGAAAGAGAGGGATAGACATAGAAAGATTGCATTCATCTGGGGGATATAAAGTAACAAAATATGAGATTAATACCCAAGAATAGCTGAGATCAGCACCAGGAGGATTACTCCATAGCTTAGTGGCCAGTCGGGCATTCTAGAGGAAAGGGCAGCTCAGATAGAGAAGAGAACACTAAATAAAGGGTGTTTGGAGGATCCTCCCAGGAGGGGCGATGCATGTCGAAAGTAGACTATGGACTGAACATGTTTGCCACTCAAAGCCTCTTTTGCAGACCACAACACCCAAAAGGAGAGAGAGAACACAGGGGATTGCCCTGCCACAGAGGCGGCGGGGATGAGGGATGGGAGTGGGGGGGGATATTATCCATGGTGGTGGAAAATGGGCACTGGTGGAGGGATGGGTATCTGATCATTGTATAATCGAAACCCAAGCACAAAAAATTGTAAATCTACAACTGTACCTCATGGTGTTTCACTAATAAAAAAAAGAAGAAAAGAAAAAAGAAATCATGAGTTTTCCACATACCAATCTGAACACATATTATAAAGCATCTTATCTGAACTAGAATAGGGACCAGAAAGACAGCACAGAGATTAAGGAACTTGCATATGGCTGGCCCTGGTTTGATCTTGGCACATCATACAGTCCCCTGAGCACCTCTAAGTAGGACCCCCAAACCCCAATACCATAAAAATCAAATCACTAGAAAATATATCACTATACAATTATCAAGAAATATACACTTCCTGAATTTTGGGTGTATTCCCAAGCAGTGCAAGGGCCCAAGAATTAAACTGGAGCGACTACATGCAAGGCATGTGCATCTCTCCAGCCCCTGTTTCTGATTTTTTAATGCTAATGAAGATATGAACATAAAGACATTAAAAATATTACTTTTTATGACAAGATTTAATGTCAGTTTTTGCAAATTTTAACAGTTAAAAAAGGAATATCAAGGAAATGAGAAAAATTATTCTAAAGTTGAAATATACACTATCTGAGTCAAATGAGGACATTTACAAATAGAAGAATATGGAGGGGGAAGAATAGGGATTCCTGGTCATTAAATATGTTCTGACACTACTAAATTAAATGGTTTAGAAATGGCTAGAAAAAGATTCAGGCCGTGTACTCAAACTTAGTATATAGTAATAGTTCCACTTGGGAAACATTTTTTATATAATGCAATCTAGATAGATTAAAGGTTTAAATATAAAGGGTAAAGTTTCCATTTTTAACATCTCTGCTCTCTCCTAAAGTCCCACCTAAATATTGATAGAAAAAAAAACCCTTAAGTATCCATAAGAACAAAGAATGGGAGAGAAAGCCATAGCAACAAAATTTGGGACATTAGAAAGCAAATAACTAATATAGACTTGAATTATATGCCTGTCATGAAGAATGCAGAGAAGTGGCTAATTAACAGTGGCATAAAGGTAAAGCCAAGAAAAGGACCAATTCAAAAATCTGTTAATAAGCACTTATCCCCCACTCCTCCTTAGAGGGCAGGTGCCAGCTCGGCCAGGTGGAAATTAAAGTTTTGTGCCCCAGAGGGATATCAAAGGCACTCTATATATTTATAGTTATAGTTATATAGTTATATATACACATACCTATATATTCATTCATATATGTGTGTATACATATATGTATGTTAGATATATATATAATTACATATATATATAATTGGTGCTGAAAATTGAGGGATTCAGTGCAAGTAGCAAGCTGAATGTTGATGCCTTAACCTTTCCAGATTTCCAGGACAGGCACAGACAGATTTATCTATTGGACACGAAGAGTCTGACTCGTCCAAAAGGAAAGATCTGACACCCAAACCAGCAGCTTCCCAGTGAGTGATTCATAGAGCTCGCCCTAGTTAAGGTTCTAAGGTTTTTTTTGCGGGGGGAGGGGGGGTTATGGAGTGCTTATTTTAGCATTTTGAGAAACTATTGGACAAAGTTACATTTTCACCAAAGGAATGACTTTTTTCTTAAAAAAATTCCTATTTCTTGTTTCTGATCTTGGTAATATACAATATAGGTTATCCTAACAGGATGAAATGATACCACATTATAGTTTTGACTTTATTTTCCTAATAGTCATTTAACACCACAGTGTTGGTGTTACTAACCATTTGTATACTCAGCAAGTGTTTCTTCATGGTTCTGTGCTCTGAGATCGATCCTGGTGCACTCTGGGGCCCATATGGCATGTCAGAGTTCGAACTCAGGTTGTTCTTGTGCAAGGCAAGCGCCTTCCCTGCTGTACCATCTCTCCAGCCCATCTTCTTTCTGTTTCTTTTTAATTGGGCTATTTGTTTTGTTAAGTTTTTTTTTGTTTTATTTTTGTTTTGTTAAGTTTGGGGGGTTCTTTATGTTTATTTAATATTACACCCTTGCAAGATACATGATGTGAAAATATTTTTTTTCATTCAGTCAGGTGTATTTTTTATTTTATTGATAGTTTCTGTTCCTGTACAGAAGTTTTTCACTTAGATGTCCTAGTTACTTATTTTTGCTTTGGACATTATGGAAGCCTATATTTTAAGGCATTCATTCTTTGCTTTCTTCATTGCTCTTTATTTAATCTCCTCTTAGATGGTTTGTATAGATTAACCGTGTGTGTGTGTGTGTGTGTGTGTGTGTGTTTGAATATATTCTGGGCTCTCAGTTCTATTCATCTGTGTCTTTTATTTTTTTCTTGTTCCTTTACTATCCTGCTTGATTGCTGTCATTTTGTAGTACAGATTAAAGTCAGGTTCTAAGTTCTAAGACCAGAACTTTGCCAATTCCCAAAGAACAATCCTTTACAGATTGGGGGGTGTTGTGTCCTACAAGCCATCATCATGCCAGGAAATCTTCTGAGTTGTTCCATCTACCACACAGGTGGCTTGTCCCACCTGAGAAGTGACCTCTGCATTGATCTCTGCCCCCACGGGTTGGACTGTGCTCTGGGGTTGGTGTCTCTGGGAGAACACTGTACTGTCAGGTGGCGTCTTCACATCCCAACTTCAGGCCCATCACTCTCACCATTAGCATCAGTTTTCTTTTATAATTATTATAGTTAAGACGACATCTTTACAACAGCATTAATGTTTAAGGTCCTGAGATACAATTATTCCACCTTACCACCACCAAAGTACCCAGTACCCTTCACCAATGTCTCTATGTTACTTCCAGTTCACTGTTTTATTCCTCTCAATACTCCCTGCTTGATAGTGTGTTTTAGAGTCAAGGACAAGGGTTTGTCATCACTTGACACTACATATTCCCTCACTTTCTTTCTCTTTATACCATAGATGAGTGGTATTTGTCCCCCCTCACAGTTTACTGAAACTTGGATGGAACTTAAGGGTATCATGTTATGAAAAATGAAATTTTTTTCTATAACTGAATAGTTTCCTTGTATATATTTATCAGAACTTCTTTGTTCATCTGTTGTTGGACATTTGGGTTGCTTCCAGTATCCTAAGTGCTGCAGTGAACCTAAATGTGCATACATCTTTTGAAATTTATATTTTTTGTATTTGGAGCATAGATTTCAAGAAGTTGGGTGGCTGGGTCATATAGAAGCTCTATTATTTTATTGCTGGGTCATATGGAAGCTCTATTATTTTGAAAAATTTCCATGCTGTTTTTCATAGAGACTGAACCAGATGACAGTCCACAATACTAGTTGTTTCAATTATTTTAGATATATTCCACCCCAAGAGGACATATAGAAAACCTATAGACACATGAAAACTGCTCATCTCTGATCATTAGGGAAACAAATAAAGACCAAAATGATCCCCAGGAAAAGGAAAAGGAAAGAAGTCGAGGAAGGGGACGAAGAAGATGACAACGGGAAATAATGGGGGAACAGGGGAATTGGTGGCAGGAAACATAAACTAGTGAAAGGATGGGTGTTGGAATACTGTATGACTGATCCTGATCCCTAGCACCCCCCCACCACCACCACACAGAGCCTGCCTCTATAGCAGACGTTTTCTTCTCTTTCTGTCTCTGTCTCTGTCTCTGTCTCATTCTCTGTTTTGTCTCTCTCTCCCTCTTTCTCTCCGCCCATTTCCTTTTTGGTACAGTGAATTGTAATACTGTTACTGAGAGGTTATCACGTATATCACTTTACCTCCTTTCAGCACTCATTTCACATCCAAACTGATCATTTTCAATTAATATTGTCATAGTGGTCCCTTCTCTGTCCTCTCTTCACTCCCCCACAACTTGTGGCAAACTTCCTACCACAGACTGGTGCTCTTGGCCCTCGTTCCTAACTGTCTTTGGGTATTATTATTATTATTATTATTATACTATGGTTTTAAAGAATATTTCATTATTCTGCAAATAAGTGGTTATTCTATGTCTGTAACTCACCCTCTGACTCACTTCACTCAGCATGATACTTTCCATGTACATCCATATATAAGCAAATGTCCTGACTTCATTTTTCCTAGTGGCAGCATAGAATATCATTGTGTAGATATACCAAAGTTTCTCTCTCCAGTCATCTGCCCTTGGGCACTTTGGGTTGTTTCCAGGTTCTGACTATTATAAATAGTTCTTCAATGAACAATGGAAGTGCAGATGGCATTTCTGCTGCCTGTTTTGGGGCCCCCGAGGTATATTCCTAGGAGTATTGTTGAGTATTAATTTTTTATTGTTGGGTACTAATTTCTTAAGGAATATCCATATTATTTACTAAAAAGATTTGATCAGTCAGCATTCCCACCAGCAATGAATGAGAGTCACTTTACCCTGAAACCACACCAGCACTGGTTGTTCTTGTCCTTTCAAATGTGTGTGAGTCTCTGTGATGTGAGATGAAATCTCATTTTACTTCGATTTGCATCTCCCTGATAATTAGTGAGGTAGAGCATTTTTTCTTGTGACTTTTGATTATTTGTATTTATTCTTTGAGGAATATTTTATTCATTTCTTCTCCCCATTTTTTGATGGGGTTGGATATATTTTTCTTGTAAAGTTCTACCAGTTCCTTATATATCATTGATATTAATCCCTTTCACATGAGTCTTAGGTAACTCATTTCTTCCATATCGTGGGCTGTCTTTATGAGGTAGTCATCATTTCCTTTGAGTTGCAGAAGCTTCTTAGTTTAATGTAGTCAGTCCCATTTGTTTATCTTTACTTCCACTTGCTCGGTTAGTGGTGTTTCATCCTTGAAGATGCCTTTAGCTTCAATGTCATGGAGATCTGCCTATGTTTTCTCTATATACCTTATGGATTCAGGTCTGATGTTGAGGTCTTTAATCCATTTTGATCTGACTTTTGTGCATGGCTCTAGGGAGCTGTCTGAATTTTTGTTTGTTTGTTTGTTTGTTTTGCAGGAATCTTCACAGTTTTCTTAGCACCACTTGTTAAGGCTTTCCTTGATCCACTTCTTATTTTTTTGTTCCTTTATCTAAGATTAACTGGTCACATACCTGAGGGTATATCTCAAATTACTCAAGTTTATTCCATTGTTCTGAGGGTCTGCCTTTATTCCATGCTGTCTTAATTACTACTGCTTTCTCATACAGTTTAAAGTTGGGGAAGGTGGTGTCTTCCATCACCTTTTTCTTAAGGATTGCTTTAGCTATTTGGAGGTGGGAGCAGTTGTTGTTCCACATGAATTCCAGGAGTGTTTGATATATTTCTTTGAAAAGAGAAAACAATTTTAAACAACTGTGTCTATGCCACCATCTAACATGACTGATGTAAAGCCCTACTTAAATATTTACTGGGTTAAATTTCTGGTTGGGCTGGAGCGATAGCACAGAGGTAGGGCGTTTGCCTTACAAGCTGCCAACATGGCCGACCTGAGTTCGATTCCTGTGCCCCTCTCGGAGAGCCCGGCAAGCTATCAAGAGTATCTCGCCCTCACGGCAGAGCCTGGCAAGCTACCCGTGACGTATTCAATATGCCAAAACACAGTAACAACAAGTCTCATGATGGAGATGTTACTGGGCCTGCTCGAGCAAATGGATGAACAATGGGAGGACCGTGACCGTGAAATTTCTGGTATTGTTTATGTGATTTTATCTCACACCTAGATCGAAAGATCATTCTGTAAAAATCCCATCCCCTATCTTTGTTGTATCATTATAAGGTGAGAAGAAGCAGTGTGGAAAACTATTATAAGAAGCCAAAGGGCTATCTCACGTAACAGAGGGAAAGGGGCTTGGAGTCCTATAACTCTTGAAGTTACAACAAAGAGTGTACTTTTTTTTTCTTTTTGGGTCACACCTGGCGATGCTCAGGGATTATTCCTGGCTCTGCACTCAGAAATTACTCCTGGCAGTGCTCGGGGACCATATGGGATGATGGGGATCAAACCTGGGTCGGCCGCATGCAAGGCAAACACCCTACCCACTGTACTATCGCTCCAGTCCCTAAAGAGTGTACTTTAGAAACAAGTTCTATTCAGTTACTAGAGCATGCACAGAGGGAAGGGAAAAAATAAACATATGACCCTAATTTTACTTTTCATTAAGTCTAAAAAAAAGTTTACTCACACATCCCTTGCTGTATAATGAGATGCTAATGTTACATGCAATGTATGAACAAGAAAATTTTCACATGTCTTGACAATGAAAGAGCCCAGATCCTGCATGCCCCCTCCATGCATATTCCCCCTTAGCTCACTGTTTAAAACCCTAACTAGAGCTCTCCCTTGAGAGTGCATGCACTCATTTCTTGGATATATATTCCTGCTTTTATACACATTCACTCTTGTCCTTGAATCCTTTTCATTTAAAAAATTTTTATTAAGACAATATGATTTACAAAGTTGTTCATAATAACACTAATCCCATCTCTAGTGTCCCCGCCCTCCACCAAAGCTTCCAGGTTC